CCAAATAAAAGTTCAAAATTTTTATTAAAGATTAACATTTTTTTCAAAGAATTTTGACATTGAAATTATTAAATAGTGTTGCGGACGTTACTCTATTACCCAAATAAGTCACATACTACTTTGCCAAGCTAACCATACTCCAGTTTCACGCTAAGAGGAATATCTACGAGATGAAAATAAACTGTAGCATATTATTATTATGAAAGTTCTGTTTATAAAGGTGCAAATAACCAGTCAATGTGGAGATCTTTTAATATAAGCTGTCCTAAAAATTATAATTTTTCTAAATTAATTAAACATCCATGTGACTCACGTTGATTATTGATTTTTTATTGAATTTATTGAAAAACACAAAAACATCTCTCTTACCTAACAAACCTTTCATATTTTTTTATTTTCATTTTTATTTTATATTATCTTTAGGTGCCAAGAAGTCCTTTTGGTCTTATCACAGATTACCGTGGAAAAGCATTTAACAGGAAGTTCACGCCTCTTTCCTAACCAATATCGCAAAACTTGTCCATAGGTGGGGTTCGAACCTTGGATTCATTATTTCTAATTACAGCTGAGATTCATTTAGTGATAAAAGTGTATATAAATTTAGACATTATAAATATGGATTTAAAGTTTGTTTATAAATTCTTGATGAAAAGCATTTCAAAAAAGTAAAAGTATCAAAAGTTATATTGTAAAAAATCGTGATGTAAGTTGTTAATTAAAATTTGTTGCAAAAAAAACATAATTCTATACTCATAATTGCTTGATTTAACTGAATTATTGATAAATGACAATTTTAACAGTTTTATAGCAAAAAGTTTAAGATTTTGGAACCCTTGTGACTCGTTTTAAGGGCTCGGGCCCAGTAGCCACGGTACTGATTGTAGGATATATAAACTATCTAGAGTCAGGGTTAGGGTTAGGGTCAGGGTTAGGGTTCAAGATACTTTTAAATAGATTTAATTTGTCTTGAATCTCAATAGAGTAAGTACTGATTATACAATCTTTTTATATAAAGAGAGCACAATTTGAAAAGTTTATTTTTTCGCTAATAAAACAATCTTTTACAAATTCAATTATTATTTCAATTATCTTAGCCATAACTTTTTTACAAATTAAAAGTTTACCTTTTATCATAATTTTCATTAACTTTAATTGAAGTTTGAAAACAGGTTTATAGAATTCCGACTTTTGAAGAAAAAAAATGAAGTTAAAAAAATTACATTGAACTTGCAATAAGATTATGATTATGCATGCATTGGCTTTAAAAGTTTAGATTCAACTAAAACTAATTTTTAAAAAAATTGAAAAACATTTATCAGGTCTCAACTTCTGTTAAGTTACTTTCAAATCATATTTTATTGGCAGACAATCTCGCACTCAAATGAAAAAGCCCAAGGTTTTTTCTAAAAAGGGATCTAGTTCTAATAAACGACTTTTCATAAGTTTTTAGGCTTTGTTAAACTTGCCTAAATTTCAAGGAGGTTTAATTAAAAAAAGCAAGACATAAAAAAATTTAGGAGAAACTCATTACTCAAGAAGAGAATCATTCTCAATTTTCTTGAAGTTATTTAATGAGTTTAAAGGGGGTTTTAATTATTTTTTTAATGAAGAGTGGAAAGGGGGTTTTGATTATTTATGGTTTTTAATGAAGAGTGGAAAGGGGGTTTTAATTATTTATGGTTTTTAATGAAGAGTGGAAAGGGGGTTTTGATTATTTATGGTTTTTAATGAAGTGTTGAAACTCTGTAAAACATTAATAAAATAATACAAATGAAGAAACCATTATGTTTAATAACTAATGAGGTATAATAATCTTAATTATTAAAACTTTTTTTAGTAAAGAACTATGTTTTATAACTTCATCAGTTATGTAGTCGTGTGTAAATTTTTCTAAAATTTCTTTATATAAATTCATTAAAATCCAAGCATCCAAATTGTCAAGTGATAAACGATTCCGTAGACAATTTTTTATATAATTCAAGGTAGAAAACCTTTTTTCACAGCCTACTTGAGTGCAAGACAAAGTCAAAATATATTTATAGACCAAATATAAATGGCTGTACGACTCAACAAATAATCTGTACTGAAATAAAACATTGAAACAGCAAAGAAAACAATTAAAACAGCGAGTATTTGTTTTGCAGTTTTTTTGTTCAATTTTATTTTCTTCCAAATGTAACTTTAGTAGCTCAGTGTCTTCATTTAGGTTATAACTTGCATAAAGTTCAGGTAAATTTAATTTAAGTTTATCCCATTTTTTAATAAAATCTTCAAATTCATCTCTTAAAACCGTAGAATTTTCAAACCAAGTAAAATAATTTTACTAATTTTAAAAAAAGCATTTTTTGGTAATTTTTTTGAAAATTGACGAGGATATAATCAAGAAAAATCTGAGCATTTTTCTGAATGTTTAGCAAAACGTTGCTCAAGTTGAGAAGCAACTGTATCCATAGCTGTGATATGAACATTAAATTTGTATAAATCAATAGCTGCATAATTTGCATTATTGTTACTATTTTCGCCATCCATTGTTTTCCTTACACGTACAAGTGCATTCGGAAAAGCATCTTGAATAACAACATCAATATCATTTTCAATTTCAGTCAAGTCACTAGCCCAAGAAACAAAACTTTTAGCAGCTATTAAAACATCTTCAAAATTTCTAGCTTCACTTCTTTAAACAAACCAAACATCTTTTTTAATACATGATCTTTAGCCCACCATCTTGTTTGTTCAATTAGGTTTAACACTCGACAATCTGTTGTTATATCACGCCATAAGTCCATTCGTTTGTGTGAATCTCTGAAAAATACAGCACAACTATTTAACAGACCAAACAAAGATACAGCTGGAGTTGAAACTGCTGTAGCTTCCATGATAACCAAATTAAGACAATGTGCGTAACACCACACATGAAGTTGACTTGGACACTCTTTTTCTAACCATTTAGAAAAACCCTTATATTGTCCAACCATATTTGATAACCCATCTGTGGAAGAACCAACACAATTTTTTACATCTATCATATTTTCAGATAAATTGTTTGACACCAAATCACATAATGCTTGACCAGAAGTTTTTTTTGGATTTAAAAACTACAATACTCTTTCATGTATAGCAGACTCTACCCCAGTTTTATATTCTAAAGAAACATATCTTACTATCACTGAACAAATGTCAGTGACTGAAACATCTTGGGTAGTATCAATTTGAATTGAATACATACCAGGTTTTATGATATTTTCACTGATTTGTTTTTTAATAAGTATAGAAAATGACTTTATGACATAATTAGCTGTTGTTTTTGAGAAGAGAGTTATATATTGACTTCTTCCACGAGATTGGTTGTTGTTTGCTTTTTTTTATTATTGACTTGATATGTTCATCCAGCGGTGCATCGTATTTAGCCAACAGTAATAATATATCTAGAAAATTTCCATGACTAACATTGACATTGGCTAGATCCTTAGCTGATTCATATTCACCTCGAGCTTAAGAGCTTAAGCCACGTTTCCCGATTAACTTGATAACATCTGTAATTCGTTTAAAGATCATTGTACGATGTTCAACTTCTTGTACTCTTTTAAATAAATGATTTTTACACAGTAAAACATTAATACTCGTTTCTTTTTTTTTGTATTATGTATGTATCAGCACAATAACAGTGGTTTTTATTATTTTTGTGCTCATTAATTTGACAATATAGATGTTTGAAATCAATCATTCCGGTAATAAACTTACTTTTATCAGTACTTTTAGCAAAAGCCAAACATACTGAGCAATAAAAATATTGTGTATTTTTGCAGTATGTAAGCCAATAACGTAAACTAACATCTGGCCGATAAAAAGTTCGTTTATGATTGAATAGTTGTGTTTCAGATTTATTCAAATCTTGAATAGATGAATATGTATAAATATATAAATGAAATTCAAAAAATCTTATGATTTCATTTGATGTAGGTTTTTTGAACATATGATCATTGTAAGTGATTGCGTTTGAGCCAAATGGAGTTATTGTTTTTATTCATTCCATTGTAACCTAATAAAAATAACAATTTTTGAAAAGAAATTTGTATTATATTTATACCATAACCCTGGATCCACCAAATCAAGCATTTTTACCAAATATCTTTTATATACTCACGGAGTCAGTTGTTACACCCAATGCTGTAGTCATCAGAATATCTGGTAGAGAAGTACAGTGAAATCCCGATATCTCGAACCTCCAAGGGACCTAGAAAATAGTTCGAGTTAGCGAATGTTCGAGTTATCGGGACATTCTATAACACGAACTTTGGCCGATAAGTAAAAACAATTCCAGATATTAAATGTTTTGACCTCAAAAGTAAAAAAAATAATAATAATTTAAAAAATGTTTTAATGTCACTCTGTTTTAGTTTTGAAGATATGTCCCTATCGAATATAATAGAGACAGCATTGAGCTTTTGTTGCAAATCTTCACCCACTGAAACACATCACAAGACTGAAGGGCATATAGTCATACAACACTTGCAGTGCCTCCCGAATATCACTAACTTTTGAGCAAACTAGATTATTTGCATTATCATCATTATCTTCCTCATCATTATCATCATGTTCATTGGCTGCATTTTTAACTTCTTTTTCCAACTGTTCATCTGTAAGTAAAGATTCTGTGCTAATTAAGCTTTCATCTGCAAAAACAATATCTTCAGCTGTTGTACCTGGAGAGTAAAAATTATCAAGTTTTTCTCTCTGATTTTGAACCTCTTTAATGAGGTCGTTGTCTTTATCCGAATATGCAGATTTCTGCTGATCTTCAGAAATTCCTGCTTTTGTAAAACAATTAATGACGGTGGAGGTTTTCAAGATCTTTTTTTTTATCATTAGCTGCGACCAGCCTTTGCAATGCCAAAGATCTGTAATAAACTTTCAAAGAGCGTATAACTCACTGATCCATTGGTTGAAGTTAAGATGTGGTATTCGGTGGTAAAAAAATGAGCTCAATAGATTTTAGATTATCAAGCTTCAGGGTGTGCTGGGCAACTATCAATTATGAACACTACTTTTTTCTTTTCTTTTGTAAACTTTGTATCTATTTCTCGTATACACTCTTCAAACAGTACGCTATCCATCCAGCATTTATTTTTATTTCTGTATCTGCAAGTTAAGTGCTTAATTCCTTTGAAGCAGCAAGGTGATTTTGATTTTCCTATTACAATCATAGAAATTTTATCACCCGCTGCATTTGCTGCAAACATTCCTGTATGACGAATTTTACTGTGCTTTTCCCCTATACATATCTCAGATTGAAGATTAAGTGATTTATTAGGTTGTATATGAAAAAACAATACAAATTCACCTGCATTACAAATTTCAATAAGTTTTTACCTGGATAAAGTTGCGAGGAGAAATGCTTCCTTTCATGGCGTGGTCATTTCAGCTGTACAAGAGTTACCCTCTCCACATACCGTCTTCAAAGAAACATTATACCTGTAGAAAATAAACCTGTTTTTCCAACGATCAAGCCAACCATCAGACGCTTGAAATCTATTTATATTATTTTTTTTAGCAAGTTCTCAGACTTTTGTTTTAAGAATTGTTGCTGCTCCTTACATTTAAAAGCCATTTAAAAACAAGATTATCTCAAGATTAAAAACAAGATTTTCTCAAGATTAAAAACAAGATTATCTCAAGATTAAAAACAAGATTATCTAAATTTGAAAATGTTTATTCTTTAATTCTCATACGTTTAGACTTGTTTTCTTGCGTCTTCATACATTCAAAAAATTTTCTTTATTTTTGATCCATGTTGACAGCGTATTTTTTGGAATGCCATATTTTATAGCAACCTGAGACTTTGACAATCCTTCTCCAATTTCCCTTAAAGCAGCGTACTTTTCTTTAATTGATTTTGTATTCATTTTTCTCTTTACAGCGACAGAAGCCATAATAAAATGTAAGCACAACAAATTTTATTATAATAATGATATTGATTATTGCAACGCACGTAAGTATAACTTAGACAATTAACTTAGTCAAACTATTAATATAGTTAACATTGCAACAATGCAAGGACTTTATTGCAGTTTGTTTTTTTCATATTTTTGCTTTAAAGTTCGAGTTATCGGAAAAATATTAGCTCAAGCGGAAACTCAAAAGTAATTTAAATTACTGGAAGTTCGAGTTATCCGGGGTTCGAGATATCAGGATTTCACTGTATTAAATTTTTCATTTTCAATGACAGGATCACTGTCTTTAAGTGCCAATTTTGATCAACAAAGATATTCTTTTGTCACATTTCTATTACTACTTCAAAATCTAGTTCAAATTTTGAAGCAGATTTGAACTTATTTGAATAGGTCGTATTTGATACTAAATAGGTCGTAAACCTTTTTAGTATCAAATAGGTATTTTGCTGTCATTAACCAAAAAATAAAATTATGTTAGAAAATCCTAAATTATAAGTTATAACAACCAAGATGTCTAAAACAATTATTTACCTTAACATATTTAATAGGTGAACTTTATGTTTTAAACATCTCATCAATTTTTGGACATTCTTTTGCTTTATTAATCAATGCTATTTTGTAACGCTCTCTTTGTTGTTCTGCACCTCCGCGAAATTTTCTTTTATTAGAGTGTTCCATTGATGATTTAATTAACTGACAGAATCTGATGATTTAATTAACTGGCAGAATATATAAATATAATTTTGATAAGAAGACGTTTTTAGAAATATACTTTGTTGACGCTTTAGTGGTTTTTTCTTTTAATATTTTTATCTACCAGTTTTACGGTACTGTAACACGTTATGTTACGGTTACGTGACACGTCATAAAATTATATTGTTGTAATGTCTTATATTTAATATTATTAAGATATGATTGAATTTCAAGTGGGAAAAAAATTTTTTAATAAGTACAGTAACAGGCGGAAGCTGGCGGCCACAGCCACATAAGTTAAAGCAAAACTATGGCTTTAAACATATCTTGGAGAAAAAAAATAATAATTGGTTTATTGGTTAGCTAAAGGAAAAGGAAAAGAAGAAAAATGTTTTTAAAAACTTAAGGTAAAAAAATGGCTTCTTAAAAAATAGAATTAAACGAAAAAGAAAAAAATGAAAAATCTAAAAGGAAACAATTTAAAAGGAAGAAAGTAAAAATAAATGTTTCTTTTTCAACGGTTATTATTTAAATGTTTAAATACGAAATGAAAGAATTTAAAAAGAATCAACTCTGATATTGATAAAACTATTGATAGACAATTTTTTTTTGTGGAATGAAAAATATTTCTTTTATATAGTAATATAACAAAAATTATGCCTTTTTAATTAATTTAAACAAATAAAATTAAAATATACACTTTTTATAATCTTTTCTTTTACTTAACATGACCTGGTATTGTGGTTTTACCTTCTCCGGCAAATTGCCATATAGAGGTCACTTTACCTTCTGGTAAAGTGACCTCTATATGGCAATTAGCCGCAAAGACTGGTTGAGCTCCCGAGGGAGCGTCATACCCGCTCTACCAACTGAGAGTAAGACGAGTTTAGGAAGAACGAAGATATGTTAGAGTGAAAGATAGAAGTAGTCGAGTTTGAAAGATAGCATAGAGTAAGGGGACAGGATTGCACACGATGTTGGAGAGTGCAATACATACTGTTAGTTAGGCTTAGCCTAAGTAAAGTACGCTGACAAAGTAGTGATTGGAGTTCACTTAACATGACCTCTTCCTCAACTTTTTTTGTCGTCTAAGGAACACATTAAAATTTATTTTATATAGAAATTTGCTTCGACTAATATTACGTTTGTGGGTTTGTATCTTTTTATAATCATTTAAAAAATAGTTTAATTTAAACATGATTTATAAAAATTAATTTATAATTGAGTAAAGTTTTTTCTGCCAAAATTTAAAGGTGTTATTGTTTAGGAGTTATTAAGTTTCAAAGTTAAAATTTTCTCAAATTCACAGTGGGAAAGACTTGACCCTTTTATTGATTTTTAAAACACGTTAAGTTCAATGATTTTGTTAAACAAAGAAACAAAGAAATCAAGTTTTAGGAGAGATAGCAAAAGAGATAGTAAAACCACGCACGTACTCACTGCCTTTAATTACCTCCCCTTCTCCTCCACATCCCGTTCCCTTCCAACACACACACCAACACCACCATCACCATTATCTTGTACGCATTAATACGTTTGGGTAACTCTTTCTCTCCATACTTGCCTAAGAACTTTTTGGAAGACCCTTAATCTGTTTTGTTTGATTTTAAAAATAATAAATTTTAACACGTTTTTTCGCTTTTTTTCCAAATTTTGTTAAAAAACCTAATTTGTTTCAAACTGCTATGGCACCTTTAAAACTAAATTTTGACAACCAAACTTTCTGGTTAAACAAGAGACCATCAATTACCAACTTTTGCCGGCCTGTTAAACAGAAACTCAGATTGAATCCACACCTTTGCAGTAAAATTGTTTTGGCGAATTTTAATTTTGAAGTACCTATCACTTTTTGTCTTTTTTTAAAAAAACTGAAAAACCTCATTCTTTCATAAGATAATATATTGAGTTATTAGTAGTAATAAAAGATAAAAATATATTTTGGTCTATTTTTTTTGTTTATAGAAGCTTGTTCCTACTTATTTTATTTATTGTTCTTATACTTTCTACTTTTTAATCTTGTATAAAAATCTGATGAGAGGATCCTCTTGATCTTTCTTCAGACACAGATTGTTTGCCTTGCAATCTTATAAAAGTTTATTTTTTTTTATCTTTGTTAAATGCTTTTCAAGGTTCTGACGACAAGATCCTTGCGATCTTCTTTCAGATACCTTGTTTCTATTTGTTATATATATATATATATATATATATATATATATATATATATATATATATATATATTATATATATATATATATATATATATATATATATATATATATATATATATATATATATATATATATATATATATATATATATATATATATATATATATAGAGAGAGAGAGAGAGAGAGAGAGAGAGAGAAAGATATATATATATATATATATATATATATATATATATATATATATATATATATATATATATATATATATATATATATATATATATATATATATATATATATATATATATATATATATATATATATATATATATATATATATATATATATATATATATATATATATATATATATATATATATATATATATATATATATATATATATATATATATATATATATATATATATATATATAGCAAACTCATCTCTCCATGTTTTGTGTAACAGCAGACGTACGGACTCCATAAAGTTTTTAAAATGATCTCAGGATCAACGTTTTTACTGGAGGTGAGATACATTTACATGATCTCAATCACTTATAAGTATAGTTTTTTAATAATTTTTCACAAAATATTTCTTTATAGTATCAATAAATAGGCAGTTTTGTGGGGAAAATGTTAAAAGATTTAGTTTCTTCGAATATAATTTTTTGCACTCATCATAAATTGTCATTTTCTAAATAAGTTAAAAAACGTTAATAAAATAATTATTTTTACAAAATTTTACTTTTTTCAGCCTATCCGCAAGTTTCCGGGCATATTTAAGCATTTTAATTTATATTTAAAAAAATGTTGGATTGAATCTTGCTATAAAAATTACAGCAACCTCTAATTTTTTTTTAAATCTACCTAAAACCGTAAGATAGCACAACATTGTTTTAAAAAAATAAAAGAATTTCGATTGGCTGTCTTCTCTATAAAAAAGAACAAATCACTCAAATTTGATGATTTTTCCTGTAATATACTTATTTCGTTGATCTGCATATTAAAACTTTTCTAAGATCAATTTACAAAACGATAATTGCTCTAACGTTTTTAACTACAAGCCTATCAGTGCTTTTTGTTTTTTCTAAAAATATTCGAACGCGTATATTACAATAAAACCTTTGACTTTTTTACGTTATTATTTGTAATTTTTTTTTTTTTTATTTGCGTATTATACTAAAAAGATTATATATTTGGAAATGAAATACGAATATAAAATAATAAAAAAAATAATGTTTTTTTATTTTTAATTTTCTCAAAATATATTAATAAAATTTTTAGTTATATTTGCTAATTTTAAACCTTTGAATTGTGATAGGACATTGTCTGTTAGTTATTTTTTATTGAAACGTTTGTTTTTGATAAAAGAGATACATAAAATCAGTGGATTTTTTCCTATAAGCAGATAATTCATTTAATTCTTTATAACATTTAACCTTAAAGTTTAAGATAAAGTCAAACTTTTCAAATTTCTTTGTTTAAAGCCTCTTGAGCTTCTTCTGAGTAAACTCCAATGAAAAGTTATAAGGATTTTAAAATTTGAACTCGTTAACATCATTATTATCTTTATAACACCATTCATTTGGGAAGATTTAGCTCTAACAGATAATAACTTTACTCAATCCTGTAATACTTGCGCCGCAAGTATTACAGGATTGAGTAAAGTTATTATCTGTTAAAGCATTTGTTACCTTTCCACCTAACATAGTCAACTCAATCTTACAGTCAATTTTATGGACAGTTTTTTCTGCTTTAATCAAGCATTGATTAAATAAATAATGTTGTATAACATTAACCTTTTTGTGATAAATAAAAAACGAGAATTTTCATATTGGGCTTTAATAAAAATAAATAAAATTCGAATATTGTCCATCATTATCAGTTCGACGTAGATTTGTCATGATATTGGAACAGGAGCATTTATATCGATTTGATGAATGCATCTTTTGATTCGGGTAATCAATTGTTTGCAATTCTTAGCTCACCAGTTGTTTTTGTATACTAACGAACTCAAATATCCAAAGAAATCTTCAATTGGGCGACACTGAGGCAAGTTTGTCAGATTGCGGTTTTTTAGTACATATGGGATGTTTTGGCTTTCCAAGAAGACTTGTATATTTTTGTCATAATGCGATGATGCTTTATCCGGCCAAATCAAGTAATAGTCATATGAATGATATTTTTGAAGAAATGGAATCAATATTTTCTTCAAGCATTGATTTTGGTATACTTCTTGATTAATAGCTAAACCATTTGGCTTAAACAATGGCTTGGAAATTTCCCTTACAGATATTGCAATGTATAGCATCACTTTCTGCTTAAACTTGTGTTTATGTTTGTATTTTACTTTTGTAGGTGTTGTAGAACTTTTATCTGCATAATATCGATCATTTCCTGGAACTTACATTTTACAGAGAGGGGGAAGTAACTTTCTTAATCCAAAACAAAACATTTTCCAGAGTAATTTCGGGTCATTCAGCGCCATTGAGATTTCACGGTTAATATTTGTTGCTCAGTGTGTTCCGGTGCTCTTGTTTTTTTTTTCCGGCAGACTATTCCTTATTTTTTCAACGATTTACAAATATAAGGGTGCGGAAAGTTTAGTATCAACAAAATATTTCTAGACTCTGTTATATAATGTTCTTTCTAATATTTTAAAGAAAACTGGAAGAACTAAAATAAGATGATAATTTATATTGATTTTAAAAAAGAGAAATTTTTGCTTTTTTTAGATAATCTGAAGAGGATCTATGAGCAATGATTGATTGATGAGATGATTTACAAATTTTAAAGAATATCTTTTTCAAAACGTCAAAAGAGTCAATTACAATATTTACATTGATGCAATCAGCCCCAATTTCCTTACTTTGCCTTAATTTCCCAACTCTTCCTCTCTTAATTAGGAGAATAAATCTCCTAATTATTGCCAAGACGTGACAGGTCTCCCATAACCTGAAAAAATACTTTTTTTACATTCTTCCTTATTTCTAATTGTCCAGGTTATTTTCTTTTGCTAAAATAATATCCACTATTTAGTTTGTAAAATTAGGCACGTAAAGGCGTAAACACTTTAAATTTGATATATTATAATTCACCTTTTTATTTTGAAAGTTCTTTTTGAGTTTTTCTATTTTTGACAATTCTTTTTTAAAAATCTGTTTTTTATGGTTATATACAGGATCTTAGAAAGACTAATTGTTTATTTTTAAGTTGTTTCAGTCTTAACCTTTATATATTTCTATACAATATATAAAAAGTAGTTAGTAAATATTCAGAAAATAAAAAATAATTAAGGTACCAAAACCATAGCTATAAAAATAACTAGTATATCAAGCATCCTGTATTACCACTATTACTATATTATTACCGTAACATGCATTTAATTTTAAATACTTATTATTTATTGATCCGTCTTTTGAAACTTTGAATCCGAATTAAACAAACTTGAGCAATTTTGTGCATCTAAATTTTTTAATATTGCTTTTAGTGTAAAAGGCAAAATAAACTTAGAAACACTGTGGGGTCATGTGAAAATCTTTTAAAGTTCACTTTAAAAGACGAAGTAGTTTTTACTTATGATTTTATATATACAAACAAAGATATTGTTTCTTAAGATTTTGCTTTTATTATTAGATATAAAAGGATCCTCAAATATCAATAGTTTTAAAAAGAAATCATAGTTGTTGACCTTCGAGAGTATGAAAAGTAAGTTTTCAAAACTATATAAAAAGATATTTAGACTTATTGTTTAAGTTTAGGAAATTTTGCTACTTTTTTACCTCTCTGTAGCATACGGTGGTAACGGTAATTGTTCGTCTCTTCGCATGTAAAGGATGTCTATTTTAATATATTATTAAACACAACAAATGAAATATATAAAGAGGGGTTTTTTCTCTCTTTCTCCACCCCGCTCCACCCCGTTTTTTCTTCAAACGCATTTTAGAACCGCCAATTTGTTACAGTGCGTAATTGATATTCGAGCCGGGAAAGCGGGATTTTAGTTACATTAAAATTATCAAAGTATGATTCTTATTATTTGTCAGAATTTTTGTTTGTAAACTTTCACAAACTAGAATTATGCTCTATAAAAGAATAAATAGGTATTGAGTACTTATTGAATGAGATATACAGTTTATATATGTAACAAAAGTAAAACTTGTTACAGTCATATGCTAACTTAAAATACACTAAACAGGAAAAATCTGTTTTAAGAATGGAGGAAGCAAGGTATGTTAAATACAATAAATATAGTATAACAAAAGTCAAACCTAGCATGATATAAACTAAATTAAATGTTAACTGAAATAATTATATTTTATTACTTATTAATTTTTTTATAACATTTTAATTATATAGATTATATGTTGTTGTTGTTCTTGTCTTGTTTAAGATAGCAATTTAATGCTAATGTTTATCTTCTATTATTATTTGAAGATTTCACGTATTTATTTACTAATCGTGACACTATAGCTTTGATAAGTCTACGCTTATCACACTTTATTCTAAATTTTTATTTTTTATATTTTTCGTTTCTTCAGATATTGAATTGTATACCTTGAATCCATTACAGAATATTTATTTCTGTTCACTTATATTGTTTTGCACTTCCATATGAAAATTATTTGTATTTATGTAAGTCACTGTTCTTTCTGAACATATTCACATACATTTTATTATTTAGATTATATAGGTAGTTACTACCTCATTAATGAAATTCAAAACTTTAAATATGTTTTTCTGCTCAACTTATAACCATCCAATTTCCTCCAACACTTCTTTACTATATGAATACCAATCACATTTTAAAATAAGTCTCATAGTTTTATTCAGCATCTTCTGAAGTATTTTAACATTAGCATTTAAAAAGATTGAGGCACAATATTCATAATGAGGAGCCACTATTGTATTATAAAATACTTTTTTAGTCCACTGGGTTATATTTATACTTATTCTTAATAGGTTACTCAAATTTTTAGATATTTTTTTAGTAATAAACTATATGTTCAGTAAATTTTAAATTTTCATCAAATTTAAAATTTACTGAACTAAATACTTGACACATTCAAAGAATTTAATTTTCTCATTATTTTCTCATTATCCAAGATAACTGATTTATGTGATTTATTCAATAATATATATATATTTTTTTAATCACCAAACTTGTTATTAACTTAACCATTGATTTTTTTGTGTTCAGTTTTAGTTTATTTTTATTTAACCATAATGTACTAGGTTTGCGATCTTCATTTAGTTTCACAATTGTATCATCAAAGTTACCACTTTTGATATAGATTAATGTGTCACTAAATCGTGTTGAATACAGATATTTTGACTCTAAATTTTTAGGTCACCCCACAACAAAGAATTTACTTAAAAGTATGACTCAACTAATTATGGAAGGTACAAATGTGAACTGTTCCCTTCTTAATCTTGTTGAATTGCAGCATGATCAACAAGAGCTACCTAAACTTCTTAACGTTGGAAGCTGTAACCTTCATCTAATACATGGTTTCAATTCGGGTTTTTAATCTGCTGAATGGAATATAAAGAAGTTAATGAAAGCATCATACAACCTTTTTTATGATTCTTCTGCTAGAAGAGCTAGTAGCTGTTACTAAATGTGAGAGTTTCCCTTGTGCATTTTGCTCAACACACTGAGTTGTAGACCAAAAAGTTGCAGATAGACTTTGTTTAATTTGGTAGAATGTTAAAAAAAATAACCAAGTATTGGAAGATTCTTTCTAAAGTAAGCAACCAAAATGAAAGTGTCAAGACCAAATCCAAGATCAAGGCCAAAAATTACAAGGACAAGGCCAAGAGTTTAAGGTTAAGGCCAAAACAATAAATTTTATTATTTTTTTAAGGCCAAGGCCAAAACAATCAAGGCCAAGGCCAAAATTTTCAGGTCAAGGACTTACAACTCTGGTTCGGGGGAACAAAAGATAAAAATCTTACTGAGATATCAAACCAATGCCCAAATGATTCCCTTTCTTTTTGAAGATTTGTTCTCAACTGTTAAAAGTTTAATGGTTTTAATTATAAAACAAGATTTCCTTAGCATCGTTCATGGCAGGAAACTTCAATAATATGATTTTACTAAAAAGAAAAACTTTCTGCTATTAAAATTAATGATAACTGGATTTGCTGCAGAACATGACATTATCGAATTGAGGAAAAAGGATGCATTATCTCAAGATGTCATCTTTGATTCATAAAAGATTGCCGTCTCATTATCATTGGAATTCTGGAAAAATTATTAGAAAGAAGTTGGAATTGATTTTCTTTTCTGGAAGTAACTGCTTGCATCAGTCCAGTGTCAAATCAAAAAGCTGATATTCTTTATCAGATGAAATCTGTACTACATGTAGTTCTTTTTTGCTCACATATTAATTCAAATGAATGTGATCAAGCTTTCATACAATTTTTAAAGTTGTTCGAGGAAATTCATCATGTTCATCTACTCTTTTACTTGTATTTAAATATTTCCACACTGTAAATTGTTTAAACAAATTTTTATTTTGAAACCATTAAAGTTAGTGTAGATTATAAGGTTTTGTCAAAAGTTTTGATATTTGTTTTTACATTATGTCATGGGCAAGTATCAATTGAGAGAGGTTTCAGTATTACCAGTAATATGCTCAGTGAAAAAATGAAAGGAATGTCACTTATATCTTGTCACACTATCAAGAATTTTATGGTGTCAAACAAATTTAAGACTCACAAAATAAAAATAAACAATGAAATGATAATTGTTGTTTGTAGTGCCTCATTACGGTATAAAAACTATTTGGATAAAATAAAAAACTTAAAGCAAAAAAAAATAGCGTGATAATGCTTTTAGATCAGGAAATATTGGGAAGAAAAGAAAAAAGTAATAAACGATGTATGTAAAACATACAATTAGAAATTTATTACATTCATTACATTTTTTTGAATTTCGTTATCTTGTACCCTTGATAAGTCTGACAGGTTTTCAATTCCTGTTGAACATATCCATTTTAAATATATCCTGGTTCAAATAAAAATTTTATATGTTGATTGAAGTGTTTGATTATTTATTTAAATTTTCAAGCAAATTGATTGGTTTATTATTTATTGGGGGATTATAGTATCTGTTTTTTTAGAGGTAAAAATGCTCTTGGGTTATTAGGAAAGTTTTAATGTTAAGTTTGGGCATTTGAATGCTGGAAATATTTAGCAAAATTCAAAAAATAGCAAAAAATCAGGCAAAATCAGGGAGAAAAAAGCAAATTTTTGGCTAAAAAATCAAAGAAAATCGGGGAATTTTGTTCCTAAATAACAGTGGCAACCCTGTCACACTCCAAGTGTGACATAGAAGTGATATATACATAGGAAAATATGTCTATTTAACATTAATACACAGTATTGATCAATTTGACTATGAGATTCTTCATTATCATTCTTTACCACCTAAGTTTTCTTATACAAATATTTTTAATCCATTAAAGAACTTTGTTGCTACTTTATTTCTTTATTAGAAGATCTTTGTTAACAGTTTCAAAAGCACATTTTAACTCCAGCATTACTGTGATTGCAAATTTATTGTTTAATGCTAATCTCTGAATTAGGAGAATTACTTGTAAACCATCTTCAGTTGATCTTTCCTAAAACCAAATTGATTTTTATACAATAAATCATTTGATTCAAAAAAATACAATACTTGTTTGTGAACCCATATTTCAATGATTTTTACATACACAGGCAACATATTAATAGGTCTTAACTCCTGCATTTGTTTTGGTGAGGTTGTTTTTGTGATTGGTATTATTTTGAACTTTTTCTATGAATTTGGTACAACACCAGTCTTAAGGACAAATTAATTACTTCTAATAATTTCACAGCTTAATATTTTAAACTATATTATCAAGATCATTTCTGTTCATTGATTTGAAATCATTGAGAGCATTTATGTTAAAATATGTATGAATGTTTTGTTTGACGTTATAATTAAACTCAGATTTAATATACTTATCAATATCTTTAATACTTTTAATACTTAGTGTCTTTTCAATTTTCTTTAAATATAATATCTTCAAATACATTCTTTTAATTTTTTTGAGATAAGTCAGTTAGATTTTTTAGGGTTTTCCACATAGGCTTAGCGCCATGTTAAATCTTGTCAATTTTTTCTTTAAAAAACCTTGACTTAAATAAATCTTAATAAATAACTTTTATAGTTTCTCAATGTTTAACAATTTTTAATTGATCATTATATTTCTTATGATCAATTCCACTTTTGTTTTATATAAATAAGTTTATTGCATTCTTTTTTTTAACTTATTACATGCTTTTATCGATCTATAATCTTTCCACCATTTTGGATTTCTGTTACTGCTACTCTTCACTTCTTTTGTTTTGATTTTTTTTTAGATACATATTTGAATATTTTGTATAAGTTCAGCCATTTTATTTACATCTTTTATATTAGATTAAAGCTCTTTATTATTCTCATTAGTATTCATAATCAATTCTTTTAGTTCTTCATAATCTATCTCATTATAACATTTAATAACTTTGATATGGTTTGAATCTTTAATACTGAAATTTGAATTTTTATTTAGATGTCTTCTTTTCTACATTCTATGATTGCAGCTAACAAACTCATGATCAGTTTTATTTTTTAACAATGTGTAATCTCTATTTGACTTATTTAAGATATTCAAATTGAAGTAACCCATGCAGACAATATTCTTATACTTAGCACTAATATTATTTACCCATTTGTGCCAAAATAAAATTGAGATAATTCATATAATACAGAAATATTGAATGTTCGTTTAAAAATTTGTAATTTTGCATTAAGAATCCAGATATCATTTCTTTACTTTCATTACGACTCTTAATTTCGTGTCTATACTATAACAAACATCCCCTGTGTGCATACTCTCTATCAAACATATTAAATAGCCTTCAATTTTTCATTTTATTGTTTTATAAATATTTTCAGTAATATGTATTTCAACAAATGCAAATATGTGTAGCTTGAATTCACTTACATATTTCCTAATTTCATCCATTTTATTAACCATTCCATTTATATTGATTAACATATATTCTATATTTCTTTTAATTAACAAAATTTTAATTAACATATATTCTATACTTCTATATTTCTTTATTGCCATTTCTGGCCATTTCTCATTTATTCTGATAAATTTACAAAGTTATTTTATGCTAATTAAAATGTTCAATCAATCAATCAATCAATATATTTTCACTTTAATAATACTGTATATATATACAATTGTGCGGGACATTTACAAACAGTTATAAACTGATGACGTGTAAAGACCTATAGGGCATTCAGGCATTTGTATATTAATACAAAAATATTATCCATAATATTTGTTAGTTTGTATATATATTTTATTGATTAGTATTAAAATATACTTTTTTAGACATTTCCTAAATCCTGAATCAGTCAGCGTGCATTTATACTGCTCTGTTTGCCAAGATGTTTTTCGAGAACCTTTTCGTGCTCCTTGTGGTCATAGTTTTTGTAAAGAAGTATTTCATTTATTTCTTATAATTTTTTTAGTTTTTATTTTTTACTGCATTTTCTTATTTAAAGATGAAAGGGCCACAGTTGAAGGGGCTACTCATATTTTTTTTATTGTTGTCGTTGAAGTTGTTTTTATTGATTAACTTCACACCTAATCATCCAGTCTATTAAATCAAATATATATTTTTTTTTGTTTTATACTTTAACATGGTTCCTGTTTATAGAAAAAACATTGTATTCATTGTAATTTCTGGCCAAATATTTACTATTCAGTTTATAAACTAAATGTGGTCCAAGTTTGGGGTTCTTTATAAAACTTTTTTTACCTCTTTATAAAACTTTTCTTTTTGTTTTTGTTTTTAATATTTAAATTTACTTACAATTTTATATTGATTATAAAAGAAAATGTATTGTACATAATATACATAACATTATAAAATAATAGAAAACCCATGCAACAAAAGATAAAGACATAGAAACTAATTGAAACCCATGTTTCAATTAGTTTCTATGTGTGGACGAACTAATGATTTATATAGTTACATCATAATATGAGAATGTTTACAGGCGATTATGCAATTTATCAATCCTAGAATCTTGTTTGCATTGCCATTAGTCCTTGTACTCTGGTTAATTGCTTTCAAATCATTTGATTTTACAACCCCAAGGTCTTTTTCAGTCTCTATTTCTCCAAAATAACCTATTTATACTGTATTCATTACCAATGTTCTTGTTTCCAATGTGCATAACTTTGCATTTCATAAAATTAAAATGCATTTGTTATTCCAATAGACCACTTAACAAGCTTTTGCAGATCTTCTTGGAGTTGAAAACTATCACTTCTTGTATTAACCTTAGCGAATATTTTGGTATCGTCAGCAAAATTTAATATATGGTTTGACGCACCGGTATTCAGATCAATAATATATATCAAAAGTTATATTTTATTTTGCAGGTGCAATTATGATTCTTTTATCTAAATAAAATTTACACCATTAATCAGGGTTGCAAAAAAACCGATTTTTTTTGAAAAAAAAAACAAAGCCATAGGTTTTTTGAAAAAAACCAAAAAAACCATGGTTTTTTTGGTTTAAATTAAGTTTTTACTAAAAAGTGTGGCATTTAGTTATCCTTTTAAATTAAAAAAAGCATAACGTATTTTATTTGAGTAAACTATATTCTTTATCAATATTATTGTTATATTTTATCAAAATTATTCAGTATATCATTGTTTAATGTTCTATATATAAATACAAGCTTTGCTGCTTTTTCTACCCCCAATTGGTTTGGGGGTAGAAAAAGCAGCAAAGCTTAACTTATAATAAACAAGACCAAAAGTTGAAAAAATTCTTTCAATTCCAGCACTAGAAGCTGGTGCATTTAATAAATCTTCAATATCCATTATGTTATAGTAGATTTGGCTTTTAATTTGAATAATATTAGTAACAAATTCTTGAACTCTTTATCTGCGAAATTCATGGCAGTTTTATTTTCTAATCAGATTTAATCAGAAAGATTATATCCAAAATATCTAGGATCTGGTGTGTTTACCATGAAATGAGCATCACTGAAAGTATCTAGATTCATTTTTTTTTTTCCGTTTGATAAAAATGATTAACTGTTCATCAAATCTTTAAAAATTTCAAGTGTCACTTTTGTTTGATCTCTTTGCAAGTTATCTAGAGCTACTGCAATTGGTTTCAATATTTTCAATAAATCTTCTGTGTTCCGCTTTATCTGTATATCACTTACTTTTTTACCAATCATGGGATCCAAGTCTTTATTTTTTTTAAACATTGTAAAAATAATGCTGTTGACATTTTTCAAGTGAATCACATACAGAATTCCAGCAAGTTTCAGTAGGAAGTGGCAATTTTGTTCCTCCACTTAGTTTATAAATTGCTCCAGCTTGATGATTATTTCTGATATATTTTATTATTTGTGTAACATGCTTGCTCACATTTTCAATAGTAAGATCATTTGCTAAAAGATTCAGCATATGAGCAGCACACCCATAAGTAATGATAATATCTTTTTCAGATGACAATACTTGTCTCATTGATTTCATATTAGCTGCATTGTCAGTCACAAAGCTTTTTACTGTGCATCCAAATTTACGTCTTACAAAATCTATTGCTTCCCTTGCTAATTGTGTAAGATATTTTTCAGTATGTGAATGACCAGAAGTGTTGATTGTTTCTACTAAAATGTTAATTTTATCCTGTTCATTATGTAGATTACTCCAGCCATCTAAAGACATGCCTGCAATTTTCCCATTCAATTTTCATTACATTTTTCAATTTCTTCTTTGTAAACTCTATCTAATATTTCACCTCCAATTTGAGTTCTATTAGATAGAGTGTATCCTGGATGAAGTATATTGATAAATTTTTTAAAAAGACAAAAACAAAAATCATGGATTTAATAAAATATATCTATATTGAAGATTAGTTATATTTGTGAACATAACTCTGTCTTAGTTTCCTGTTGTAAGTTCAAATTTTTTAAAAAAAACATGAGTTTGGTTTAAACCAATATTTTTTTAATTGGTTTAAACCATGGTTTAAACCATATGGTTAAAACCATGCAACCCTGCCATTAATATTTTTAAATGCAAAAATCATATTATCATTTGCTTAATATATTGAAGGAGATATTTATTAGAGAGTTTATTATGAAAAACCCAAGCTTATTAGGAAACCTTAAAAAACTCCACCCCCACCCCATTTAACAATTTTTGCTTGTTATCAATAAAAAGAACTATAACTTTAAATTAATAAGAAAAATCAGTGTAAAGTGCCTTAAAATTCAAAAAAAATGTCAAGAATAGATAAGAATAAAAACTTTTATTGTAATTAGGCTTAAAAAATTGTTGACTCGAGCTTTTCTCAACTCTATAACTCCGAATCACAAACCTTGGTTAACAAGGCTGCTGCTGGAAGAAGTTTGTTGTACATAATCTATGTTTCATTAGTCTAAGATGTTAGATAAAAGACTGTTTATGTAATGATTTATTTTAAACTTTTGATTTATTATAACTAATGTATAATTTTATTTTTATAAAATATTGTGATCAAGGTCTATTCAGGGCCGTCTCGAATGCGGGGTGTAGGGGTGTCTACTCCCCCCCCCCCCTCCTCAATGCTGTCATTTAGGCATTTGAGTTGGCACATTGAGCAAGTTTTTTTTTTTTGGTGTCTTTAGTTGGCAAAAATATAAAAAATACCCCTCCCCCTCCCATGGAAGACCTCTTCGGCCCTGTTCATATCAAATGTCATTTTGTGTTGATGGAGTCTACCTTTTTTTTTTTTTTTAATATTTTAATGTCTATAACTTCACAATAATTCAAAATATTTTTCATCAATTTTTTTAAAATTTTTTGTTAATATTTAAAACATTGCTTTATCTTCTTTTCAAACAAATTACAAAATATAGCTGAACTAAAAAACAAAAATTTTAAGAATATATCATATTACCATTATACTGAATGTATAATTAGTGCAAAAGGGAATCCAAAATGCAATTCTTTTAAAACTAGTCAGAAATTTTTTATGTGATTCTACAGTTTCATGGAGAAACTGTATTTTGTGCATTTAGCAGCACATGCCTTTCTTTAATAACCAATCAATAACTAAAATTTAATGTCCTTAAATTTGTATGATTTTTGCAAGCTGGGTAATACATTTATTTATGTTGCCAGTTAAAGGGATCCCAAAGTGCCGAGACAAGTTGTGTTTATTTTAAAGAGAATGTTAAAAAAAAATGTTTGGGCAGAATTTTTTTAAGTAAAATAATATATGTATACTAACAAAAACAAACTTTGTAGTTTTACTCGAAGCTCGCCGTTACCACAGTAGCTATTCTCTGAAAGTCTTTAAAATATACTCCGCAATCTACAGACTTTTTTTAATCAAATTATAGAATTCTTTTAAATTATTATTATAGATGACTAAAGAATATTTTTAGTTACTTATTTTATATGAAAAAAATTTTTTATCATAAATTACTGTAGAATTTCTTTAGTTATTTTATTTTCTAACTTGCGCAAAGCTCACATTAAAAATATAAAATATTTCAGATATTTTTAGCTTGTCTATTGCTAGAAATTATTTTTTGTGTTATATTTATTGTTATTAAATGATTATCATCCTATTAAGATTGTGTTAAAAAAAATATTTTTTATTATTTAACACTACTGCAGGCCGCTGACAGCGGCTTTTGATTTTTCAAATTTTTACCGCAAATTGCTGGTAGAGTACTCTAGACACATATAACTTGTTTGTTCTTAAGGTTTAATTCTATACATAATCAAGAAAAAAAAACCATGTTGTGTTATTATAACAAGTTATCACTTGACAAAGTTAAAAAATCTTCAGCAATCCTGACTAAAAAAAACTTCTTTAAATTTAGTAAAATAAAGCAGCTTTAACACTGTAAAATTTAACTCTTATAAATGTATAGGTATTTAGCTAAGTAACTAAAAAAAAATTAAAAAAAAAAAAATGTGTGGTTGTAGCGTAAAATTTTTTGTTAAAACGGCTGGTAACGAAAGTTAACCTTATGAAAGTTTAATTAATAGCATTTATTTGCTAAGTATTCTCAAAATTCTTATTTAATCATGCGAGAATATATTTAATGAAATTTATTTTGTAAAACGTTGTGAAACATTGTAAACATGTAAATCATTGTAAAACATTGCTTGCATTATTGACCTAATTTACCCAAATTGCGATCCCTGATTTAATTTTAGTAAAAAAAATTAAAAGTTAAAAAGATACATTTTTTTAACGTTCTAAAATGATTTTAATTGTTTTAGAAATGTGAAATAAATTTACTTCAATGATGCAATCAGCAACAATAACAACAAAAAGGCCATCCAAAGAATTTTAGGGGTTCAAGTAATTTTAAAGATGTTTTATAGTTGAATTTTATAGTTGACCTGATTTTTACCCTCTATTATTATGTTGGCATGTAAAATCTTCAAAAAAATAACTTTTGAATTTTTGAAGCCAGTTGAAGAAACATGTAATGGTTCTTCAACTGGCTTATAGTAATAAATTTTTTGTAACCTACACTTTTGGTTTATACAAAAACCTTGTTTTTGAGTGTGTTTTTTTTTATAAATATAACAACCCAGAATTGTCTTTTTTAGCTACAGAATCATATCAAAGTTTGCTGAATTGTACTATAAAATTTCAATATTTTGATCGATATCAATATTGTCAATAACATGTTAGTATTTTGGTCCATATTTAAATTTTTAATGTTGTCAGATGGAGTTAAGATTGTATGTACATGTAGAGTGTAGTAATCAAATATAATTTTTTTGTTTAGACTCTACTCTTTTAACTTGAATACAATTTATCTAAATATGACTAGATAAAAGTGTACCCAAAGGTTTCAGTACTTATTAATATTATTATTATTAACGCTTCGTTGGGCGCAATCATTATATAACTTGGGAATGTGCATTGTATAAAATTAAGGCGCATAACAATTCACCAGTTTAAAGAATAAACTGTTTAAAGAATCTTTGAAAAAATATGAAATGTTTACAATAATTAAAAATGCCATCACAATTGCTACTTTAAATAAAAGAGGCCTATTGATCAAATTGATACAAATTTAAAAAGTTAATTATATAATAATCAAAAACAAGAAAGTAAAAATGTTTTTAAATTCTTTGAAAAGAAGTGTAACATTTATATAATATTAATTAAATAAGTTAATCATCATGTTCTAACATATCATTAGTTTAATAAGTTCATTATTTCAAAATATCATTTTGAAGGTCAAAACCTGGCACAAAACTGCCACAATAGCTTTTTATGTCAAACAAATTGGTTGATGGCATTGTTGACAATTATACCTTTTTAATCTTTTATTTTGTGTGCATGTCTGGCATCTTTTTCTTTTATTTTCATTTCTAATGTTATCTTGGGATTTTTCAAAAATTAGGATTGTTCTAAAACGATGTAAACTATCACTGAGTTCTTTTGGTAACCCTCTTTTATTTGCACTTCTCAAAATAAGTTGAGACATCACTAATTTATAACATAATCTCTTTAAGAAAACTTTTCTTCTCACAGCAGGTTGAGCATTCCCAAAATATAATATTTATATTAGGTTATGGCTCTTAATATGCATGCGGCTAGACAATGAATTCTTATTCCATTTACAGTTTGTGTCTTTTTTCCAACATAAAAATTGTTTCTATTGATAGTTTCATTAAAGTCAATATTTTCAAGTAATTCTCCTGTATTTGAATTGTCTTAATGAAACTCTGTGGAGTCTTCTGCATCTGTAACGTTTTAATCTTCAAAATCCTCCTCATCTTCTTCATCTAATAGATTCTTTGAAATTCCTCTATATCTTGAACTTTCAAAATTAAATAATCTCACACTATCATCCATTTTAGATACAAATAGGAAGGATTACTAATATATTAAAAAAAGATAAGCAAATTAAAATATTATTAAAAAATATAAATAAAAAATGTTTTAATTATAAGAAAAAATGGTTAGATTTATATCCAACTTTTTGTAATAAAGATTTTAGTGACCAACAACACTATAAGGTGCAATTTGATATTTTAATTTAAAAAATGCATCTCCATTGAATTGAGCTATAAATAATATCAAATTATGTCTACAAATTTAAAAATGTATTTTTCAGATATAATTTTTTCATTAAAATCAAACTTACAAAATGTACATAACAACATAGAATTTATATAAAGTGATTTAAATATGTTTGATGATGTAGAACAATAAAAGAAGAAAAAAAATGAAGCTACTAAAAAGCAGAATATTAAGTCATTACTCAAAAACTCGTACAAGATAAAAAATAATTGACTTGTATCAATTTGATCAAGCGCGTCCAACAGAGGATTAATAAATACAAGCTACAAATTGTATTATATGTCTCTTATATATATTATGGTTATGAGTTCATTTTGCGGCATTCCTTTTTTTAATATCATGAGCTTAAACAGTCTTTATTATCTCTGTTCAATCTTCACCCACATTTAATCACCTAATAATTTATAATTTACAATTCTCTTTCACATTTCAGCTTTATAGGTAAAATTCTGTAATACTGAAAACTCAATAACATTATTCTTCAAAATATAGGCATTATTTACACTACTTTACCTTTACACTCTGTCAAATTTAACACTATATCTTTTTTTGCGTTGAGAACTATTAATTAATAACTAACCTTAACCTTTTTCATTTTTTAATAGTGTATCAATAGTTGGTTATCTCAAAGTCAAACTTGTCCAGAAGACCGGTAAGCACTCGTAAACTTCTTTAATCTAAAAGTTTTATGTTATACATTGTTTAGTATTGTACACAATTTCAATAATATTATGTGATAAATTTAACATTTATTTATTACTTATTATGTTTTATATTTATGATTTATATTTTTTTAATTTTGGGTGTTTGATTTAGCTTTCTAGGAGTGTTTGATTTAGCTTTCTAACTAGTTTCAGAAAGTAGTTTCCTCTGACTCGAAAAGTGTTTGTAAATTAAATATATTTATATTGAAGTATATTTATATTGGAAGATGTTCCTTTAGTTATACTTTATTGTTTAAAGGCAAAAAAGTTAAACTTTTCAACTTTTCAGGTAGTGGAAATGAATTGAATTCAATATATATATCCGTTTTCAAGAAAGTGAAAACTTTTTAAAAATTAATCACTTTTTTTAGGTTTTTACTTGACATTAAAATTATATCACTATTAATTAAATTTGACCTTATTTCCTAACACTTTCCGATCACTTACCTTTGGAAAGTCAAAAAACAAGTTAAACAATTTTGTTGTTTTTATTTAATTAGGTTTTTTTTTAAAAATAGTTGATTAGATATAGGGCTTCTTTTCTTTGAATAAAGTTTGTATCCTTAAAAGCAGAAGCTACTGCAATAAAAGATGCTGGTATAATACAATATTTTCAAACCACTCTAGCTAGCATAGGCATTTTTGATGAATTTTTTTTTTTCAAAATTGAGAATAGACTTAAGGTAAGCTTTCTTTTTATAAAAGATTGTTTCTCCCAGTATATGTCTTATGTCTTATAAGACATATACTGGGAGATTAAGATGTGAATTGTTTCATTATGCTTTTTGCTAGATAAGGTCAGAATTTGTTTTGTTAGGTGTTTTGCCAACTATACCTAATAGCTAACTTTGTAATTGACCAATTTTTTTTTTAAGTACAGCCATTGAAATCAATGAGAAAAATAATAAAAGTAAAAAGTTTTTTTTATTAGGTGAATAATAAAAATGAAGGCAATTTTATTAGAAAACTGATGAGCAGTGTTTCCATTATTTGGCAAAAAAGCTTTACCTGAGTAATGGGTAATTTTAAATTTACTTGGGTATTACCCTGCTATTCCTATAAGGTTAATCTAAAAATTAAAATTATTTCGTTCTGGATATTTTGAGGATGAAGACTGTCATCATTCTTTTCTGGGAACAATCAAAAGACTTTTTCAATTTTATCGTTAAGTCTTTTGATTGAATCATACTATAAATGCTGCATTTAGAGCTTGATTCTTGTATATAGCTTAATTCTAATATATAGCTTGATTTTTGTATATAGCTTGATTTTTGTGTATAGCTTGATTTTTGTATATATGTTGATCTTGGTTTTTTTTCTTCTTTTTTTTTAATTTTTTACTCGGTGTAGTTAAGACAATTTATAAGTTATTCAATTTCTTTAAATTAGAATTCACATGATTTTGTCAAAGTACTATGTTGAAAGAAAAGCTTTAGACTTGATTTTTAGTTTTTTTTTTGAGTTTAAGTAATAAAAAACAAAATAGCTTTTGATCTGCGTTTTTTCAAAAGAAATAATTTTATATAAAATTACGCCAATAATTATTTTGCATTAAAAAAAGATCTGAAAAATAAATACTTATAAATATTTTTTCATTCAGAAATTCCACCTTCAAAAACGTTTTTTTTTTCCTTTTTTTTGTTCAAGTATTTTTTTCAACTACATAGTTTTTTACAAGTTTTAACAATATATACTACTTTAACTACAAGTACATTCAAAGATATTTCTTATATAGTTAAGATAATATTAAGATTGTTTTTTATTGTACAGTAATGTAAAATAATATTACAATTTATAATTTAAAAAATAATAGTATAAGAGAAACTTTTAGTTAGGTAGTCAAGGGGAACTCGCAAAAAACTAAGTGAAGTCTTGTCATCAAGAACTTATATTATTAATTTCGTGAGATACTCATAATTATTTTATTCATGACTTGTTATATTTTTCAATACAGCTAGTCAAGAAGCTTAACGTATACATAAGCTATTCTTGTATATACATACTTGCTTATATTTTAAAATTTTTGAATTTTTGTTTAGCATATTTTTTATTTTTTATTAATCATAAGATATTAAAATATTTCTAATAGTTGTTAGTATCTAAAATGAGTTTTTTAAGATTAGTTTTTGAGGAGTTTAAATTTTTTGAAGGAGGTAACAAGGTATTTTTTGAAATTAATTTGTTATACTGGTAAGGACCATGATATTTTATAGAGAATCGGGATAATTTTCTTTTTTTTAAGGGTAGTATATAGTTTTCAGTTGCTCTAATGCTAAATATATTTATATTAGTTTTAAAAAAAGTTATTTATAAATCAACTTGGGACTATTCCCATTTTATGTTTGAACATTAACAGTATATTTTGATATATATTGATTTGGTAAATGTTAAAAGAGTTCATCTGTTTTAGTAAATGGGTTTGCATAAGTAAGCTTTTTTTTATAAAATATAATTCTAGATGCATGTTTCCCTTGTCTATAGAGAGAACTTAATTTAGTTTTATGCATACTTCCCCATGCTATATTGGCGTATGATAGATAGCTGTGTATAAAGAAAAAGTAAAGGAGTTTTAAATTTTTGAATAATAGAAAAGGTGCTTTATAGAATAGGCCAATGTTCTTAAATATATTCGTATTAATGGCATTTATGTGAGAGTACCATGATAAATTCTCGTCAATAAGCACCAAGAAATTAAGTTCTTTCACCAAGAAATTAAGTTCTTTCAATAATTTTCTTGTTTGTACTAATAATTGGTAAATTTGATGGAAGAGATTTTTTTTTTGGTCGGAGTAAAACAAGATATATTTAGTTTTGTTTGAGTTCAATGACAATTTGTTAGCTTTGAACCATGTGTTCAGTTATATAAGTTCTAGATTTACAGTTGTAAAGAGGTCATTAATTGTTTTAATTTAACTTCTATTACAATTTAAACACCACATCATTTACTGGAATAAGGCATTGGTCAGTAAAATATTGTACAGACAGGATAACATTTTAAAATTGCCTTAACTACACCGAGTACTAAATATAATGATGTTTATAATATTAATAATATGATGCCCATTTTTGAAGATTGATCAGGAAAGTTTTATTTGCATAAATATTTTTTGAAAAGTTGATAAATTGATAATTGCTCCAAATTACCCATTACCCGCAAAATTTGAAAAAAATTACCCTGGTAATGGGTAAGAAAAAATTACCTAATTACCCGGGTAATGGGTAAGGTAATACCCGGGTAAGAAACACTGCTAATGGGCAAATCTATTATTCATTATTAAAACAAGCAAGTCTACACTTAAGCGAAAAAGTTTTGAATATTATAAATCATTTTTTTCATTGAAATGCAAAGTTGATTTATATGATATAACACTTAATATTGTCAAGTAAATGCCTAATAATACTTGGTATGGTTGCAGTGTCTGAGAAGTTAGTTATTTTTCTTTCATTAGTTAAACTTTATCCATTGTTTTATCTTTAGTCAAACTTTCTTCTTTAATTTTATTGTTTCTGTTGTTGATATATTGTTGTGTTACAAGACACTTTGATTTGTTGCATAAATATTTTAATATTAAGAATGTTTCAATTCCACCTAAAGCAAAACCTGCAGAAATGTTGTAGTGAATGCTTTTGCTTAAGCATTTTTAGTAACTGCAGCTGTATAATACATGCTTAATGCTAATATTTATCTAATAAATGATGTTGATAGATATAATTGACGCTTGAGTTTTAATGCCAGTTAGGTTTAATGGTTGTAAAAGAAAAAAAATACAGACAATAAAGTCATTAATTGTTGAAAAAAACTGATAGCAAGAACTTGATTATTATGTTAAAACCTTTTTTTTACTTGTGGCTCCCACAATCCAGGCCAGATTTAATGTAATTCTGAGCAGAATGCTAAAATTAGGTATAATATTTTAAAATATTTTTTTCTCTGACTCTTTTGTTACATTTTTTTATTTTTATTTTTATAAGGAGTTTAACTTTAATAAAAAATAGTTTATACTTTATTTTCTTCTCAAAATCCTGTTTACCTATGTATAAAAGAATAGAGCTTACTATTATTTGTTAATAAACCATTAGCTTTACCATGTTCTTATAAGTTAAGTTGGGTTCAATTGTTTAACTGGATAGTACATGTAAAGTTCTAAGTATAGGAAACTAAAGATATAAATTGTCTAAATGGTATACAAATTCAAAAGTCATGTTATGTTTTGAATGCCAAATTTAATCCTCACCATGTCCCTGGTAGTACTGCTCTCTACTTGTTTTTCTGTGTCCTTGTTCATCAAGGTTCATATTTTGGAGTTATAGAGTTGGAGTTTGGAGTTTTAGAGTTATGGAGTTAAAGAGGGTTGTAACCACAATTAATGTAGCCTCCTTAACTTTAGTGGCTGTGTCCTTGCTGTGCTATTTTGCACACATTTTATGTTATACAAAGATTTATAAAAGTACTGTAAATCTTAGAAGTTAATAAATTACACGAAAAATCTGATTTCCAACTCATATATATGCTAGATTTTGAACTTTTTGTCTTTAGTGTTCTACTCTGCATTTTTATTCTATTTATCAAGGTCTTATAAATGTACAACATTATAAGTTCATGGTGACTCTTTTATTGGTTATAATAAATTCACGTTTTTAAAATTTTACGTTATATATTTCATAGAAAGTTTGAAAGAATGTATAGTATATTTCATTAGCTTTAAATGAACTTTTTATATGATTCCAACTTATTAAAGATAAATGATCCTTAAACGATGCTAAATTTGCATTGGTGAACAAAATAGGGAAGTTGTCGAAAACGTTACTTTTTATTATACAATTTTTAAGATTTTCAATAAAGATATTGGTTCTTATAATATTGTCAAATATGGAAGCTGTAGTTGAGGTTACTCTAGTAAGTTTGTTAAATAGTGGAATTATAGTATGGAAATATAGTTGAGGTTACTCTAGTAAGTTTGTTAAATAGTGGAAATATTCGCATAAAGCTGACCAATTACTGAGTAAAAGTATTGTCTGATATCATTTGAATGAATATTCATTGAAAATTCAGTAAATGTTCATTTTATGGTGTTAGGTTCAAAATGTCAAAGTAATAAATTTGGCCTTAAAAGCCCCAACAACTTTGTTGTATTAATAAAAAACTTTGAATTATATGTAAAACAAAATATCTTTCTTCAAGCTCGTTTTGAAAAAATTGATACGCTATATTTTTTATAATTCTGCAAAGAAAAAACTTCATGTGGCAATAAAAAATTATAAACTATTTAAAAAATGAAATAATATTATTTTCTTTAAGTTAATTTTTAAAAATAATAATATAGCAAATTTATCTAAATAAAATTTTTTTAAAACACTTGTAAAAAGTGAGTTGTATAACTTTTTAATAAATTTTTTCTAGGAAATAAAAAATGCTAACCATAACTTTTTTTAAACATAAAAATGTTTGCAATGTGTATTACAAACATTTTTGAAATGTGCAAATGATCAGCAATTATATAACTTTTTTTATTTAATTTTATCTTGTCAAAATGTTGAAACTTTAATTTTGATATCAAAATCGTTTAAGCTTAATTTTAATAATTGTTTAAGCTTAGTTTTATTGTTTTAATTTTTTTTATCTTAATTATAATAATTAAGTTTCATTATTATAAGTTGGTCTTTTTAACTTTTTGTTTTTTACTTTATATCTTTATTTTCACACTTACCTTTAGAAAACCAATCAATCAAAAGCAGCTACATTATGATTTTATTCTTGCAAATATTATTGGGGATCAAATGGTAAGCTAATTATTTAATTTTTTCATTTTTACATTCTACAAAAATTATGTTACTAATCATCAATTTTATTTTACCAAAAAAAATTATAAATTTGCAGAAATTAGAATCACAATTCATCTTGAAAATTTAGAAATAGTTTTAATTATTGTATTGTTTCAAATCTTGCTCATTTATAAAATAAATATATTCATTAGATAACTAACAGTCCGTGTTATTTGGTTATGGATTACTTACAATTTACATCAATCCCTGAAGGAAGGAGAGGGGGTATTTAGCGATTTTTATAAGAATTTGGTTATAGGGAGAGGTGGTATTCTATTTTGTGATGCAACCTTTTTTTTTTTTTTAATGTAGAAAAACTTTTCTATTGATTAATAGTCTAGTCTGAATATTTTTCTGTTTACTGTAAATTTATACAGCTTTATATTGAACTATAGAAATGCAAAAATGTATAAATATGTAGACTCCTCTACCTTTTAATATGCCTATTTAAGTCAGTCAATGTATGTGCTACGCTCATGTACTGCAACAACAGCCATATCAGTCAATTTATGTACGCATTGATTACTATTCCAGGAAACTTTGAAAAATATAAGTAATAAATAATTATAGTTATATTTAAACGACAATAATAGTAAAAACAAATTGCACTACTTTCGAATAAAACATCAAAATTGGAAGAAAGGTTTTTTATAGAGGAGTTAAACCGTCAGACTTAATAATTCTGCCACTAAATTGCAAATTTAATCATCCACAACTCTACACTAATATATCTATTTCATAAAATTAAAAGAGTTTAAACATTTGTTGCTATAAATATAGTTTTTTTGTTGGCTTATTATTTGCATGCATGTACAAAGAATGAATGAAAGAATGGCTGTCAAAATTATTTTAAATAATAATAACAAAAGTTTTTATGTATTAAACTAACATTAAATAGTACCGCGGTAGTACCGTGCTCGGTTTTTATGCATTGAAGTAACATTAAATAGTGTCGTGGTGGTGCCGTGCTCAACTTGTTTCTCCGCGCAGCAGCCTTGTTCGTCAAGGTTTGTGTATCGGAGTTATAGAGTTAAGAGAGGGTTATAACCACTATTAAGTAGCCTCCTCGTCTGTAGTGGCCTATTCGGCCTTGAGGAGGTGAATGACAAAAAAAATAATAACTAAAAGCAGATAAAAAATTTAAAATTTTATCTTTTTATTATTTAATTTAAAACCACAAAAAATAATTTTAGGGAAGGGGGGTTCATATTTGTTGCATAATTTTAGGAATTTGGGGGTCAGTAAAATGTGAGGATTTGTTACTAGTGGGGAGGGGGAAAACAAACAAAAAGCTATGGTTAAATGAAAAATATTGAAATAATTTTTTTTTTTTTCTAAACTAAATCTTTAAAATATAATTTTAATAAGTTGGTCAATTATCTTTTTGAAGTTGAAGAGAAACATGCCAAAAAAACGCCTTGCGATAAAAATTGTATAAAACTTAGATTCGACTACAGAGTCACTCCAAGCCAACTGGACCAAGGTCCAATATGGACCCCTCAGATTTTGATGAAACTTAGTGGATTTGTTAATATCAATAAGAAATTTCTGAATATTTCAGCAAAAAATCTTTTGCGATTCATGAAGTATAATCATTCTAAATTTCTAATTTCTTTAAAAATAAAAAGTCTAAGTTTTATTGTATACAACTCTAAAGTCTAGACTTGTATACAATAAAAAAAACTAAAAGATTTTCTGAAATTTCTTTTTTAAAATAAAAAGCTTCATAGTATGAACAAAACATGTTTTTGCTACTGAAATTTTTAAGTTTGGAAAAATTAGAAATTTGAATGACCATATCTCTTGAACCACAGAAGATTTTATGCTGAAATTTTCAGGAATTGCTTTTCTCATTGATGTTAACAAACCCACCAAGTTTCATAAAAATCAGAGGAGATCCATATTGAAATTCTAAAATTTTGGTCCATTTGGTATGGAATGGCCCTACAATATCTTCAGTGATAAAATTTTAAGAGTTTTATTTATAGACAATGACATTTATTTTATTTCTATATATATATATATATATATATATATATATATATATATATATATATATATATATATATATATATATATATATATATATATATATATATATATATATATATATATATATATATATATATATATATATATATATATGTGTCTATGAACTATGCCAAGATTCTAATTTTTTTTAGGTAGTTTGAACTATGCTAAGATCTCACTAAATCTTTTATCTCATACTTGTATAACATCAGGTTTATTCATCTTTTCATTCTTACTTATACCTATCTCTCTTACATGGGTCTGATCTTATTACATTTTTCAAGGATAATTTTGTGTTGTTTCCAGTAATTTCTAGGGTACAAAAATTTTTTTTTTTTTTTTGGTGCTGTGCTGTTTTTGTGCTTTTTCATCTCTAATAATAATCTTAATTAATCTTTTTTTTTTGATTACTTAAATCAAGTCACAAAAGATAATCAATTGAACTGATTGAAAATAAGTTTTTTTTATTTCTATACCCATTTTATAGGATCTGAATGACAAAGTGTTTTACTAAATTGGAATGTGTTTTAAATGCAGTTGAGGGAGCCACTTTAGTTGAGGAGGCTAGCTTGAAAACATGATAAAACATATGCTGATTAACTTTCTCAAGACTCTTCTGTGTCAGACTCTTGCCATAAGTTTTTTTATACTACTGAAATATATAACCTCACCGACATACAAATATATAACCTCACCTATACAAATACATAACCTCACCGACAATTTAACAACGCATTAAGCCTCTATAAAGTAAGTATGCTGTAAAACCACTGATTTAGAACCCCCTCTTCCATGTACGAACATGTACGTTTTTGAAGACCCCCCTCCTCCCTTCCCCTTCATGTTCCTACGCATTCTTTTTTTCTTTTTTTTTCTTTTTCACGTTTTTGTTGAGATCAACAAAAGATATGCTCTTCCAAACATGTACAATTGCTTTTTTCAATTCATTGACATTTGAATATGATTTTTTTTCTGCATAAAAATGTCTTGCTACAGAGATTATTAAAAAATAAGGGAAAACTAATTCTGGATTTTTTCTGGATATTTTATCCAACAAATTTCCGGATTTTTAAAATATGACTAGGATAACCTATGCTTGCTAAGATGCCCTTTATGTTTTGGATGGGATTTACATCAGACAAGAGTGCTGGTTGTTCCAATTAGTGAATTTTCTTGCTGGTGAACCATGGGGTATTTGACTTTAAATTAAATAAAAATATACCAAAAACATATGCTCAAAAGTATAATCTTTTTTGTACTAAAAAGTAGAAAATAAACTTTTTAATTTAAATTTTATAGTTCCGTACACTAAAGATTGACAGGTCTGCGTAATGTTTATTTAGAAATATACCTGTCAATTTTTAGTTTACAAAACTATTAAATTTAAATTAAAAAGTTTATTTTCTACTTTTTAGTTCAAAAAAGATTATTTTTTAGCAAATGTTTTTGCTATATTTTATTTTCTACTTTTTAGTCTTAACAAAGAGTTACGAAATATTAGTATAAAACAAAATTTTTTTGTCAATAAAAGTATATTTAAAAGATTTAAAAAACAAATACAAACCCACAAGCAATTTTAGCAAATTTTAAAAATGAAAAGTATTTATACTTTTCTTCCGCAGCAGATGGTGGCTGCCTCCCAATTAATTTTTAGAGGCAAAATTTTTTTATGTTCTGCCTCCGATGGCATCCGCCTTTCTATGGACGGCCACAGTCAGATATTTTTTTTGGAGGCAAAATGTTTTTCAGGCCGACGCCAATAGAGGCAAAACCATTTGGAGGCCGCCTCCTATAGCTTTTGCCTTCCAGCTGGCTGCGGCCGAAAAATTGGAGGCAGAAATATTTGACTCCCGGCGGCGGATGTAATGAAAATTTGCACGTTTGCCTTTAAGTTAACGAGCAATTAAATTATTAACTGAGAACAAATGTTAAATATTTGACATCAAAGTTTTGTTTTGTATGATTAATTGGCTATTTAAAAAAAATTTTGAAAAAAGAATTAATATTTTGTCAGAGCGGTCTAGGACTATCGTATAAATTTTGAACTTTTAAACGTTTGAATTTTTTAATCGCTTAACTTTAAAACGTGTAAAAGTAGACAAAGTCTATATTATTAAACGTTTTAAAATTATAGAGTAAAATATAAATAATATTTATAAAAGTATTTATATTTAAAGTTTATTAATTTTATTTTTTTTTTTGGTTGTAATTTGGCAAAACTATTAGAACATAATACAGCGTAGTCGCAAACTTTTTATAAACATTCGCAGTTATTTTTTCAATAATTTTTTACAATATTCAATTATTAAAAATAAGTATTTAACATTAGTATTTAACGTAATTTTAGCATGTCGACTTATTCTAAAAAACCTTTACCAAATCAGTCAATTTTTTTTTTTTTTTTTTTCAGTCAAAAAGATTTATTCGCCAATGGCATAGAAGTAAAATTTCCAACTTTTAACTTTTTTTTTTTTTTTTTTTTCAAAGAATAAGAACTGTTTTAAATACTGCACACAATCATATAAAATGAAATTTGATGTCAAATATTTAACATTTGTTTAGTAGATAAATAGTAGATAAACAACCGCTCTGACAAAGTTATAGTTTTTTTTCAAAAAATTTTTTAAATAGTCAATAAATAATATAAAATAAAACTTTGAAGTCAAGTATTAAATATTTGTTTCTAGTTAATATTTAATTGCATTAAAGCAAACGAGCAATTATTTTTCATTGAATCCGCCGGCGGGAGGCTAACTCTTTCGGAATCGATATTCCCGACTCCAATTTGGCGGCTGCAGCCAGTTAGGAGACAGAAGCCATTAGAAGCGGCCTCCAAATGATTCTGTTTTCACGATTTTTTTTTGGGGCGGCAACCAATGGCTTCCGCCTAATGGCGTCGGCCTCCAAAACATTTTGCCTTTCAAAAATAACTCTGGCTGCGGCCACCAATAAAAAAAGCAGAAGCTTTGGCTGGAGGCCAAAGAAAGAACATTTTGCAGCTAAAAAATGAACAAGAAGCCGCCGCTTACAGCTCCCGCCTCCCTAAAAAAATGGCTTTTCGGCAGAAAGTTACTTTGCCGCCTGGCGGCATTATCAACTCAATTTTAATTAACAGAAAAATTAAAAAAGAAAAACGAACTCACAAGCAATATCAGCCTATTTTAAATATAAAAAGATTTGTTATACATATTACTACTTGTAAGTAAAAGACTAACCCGTAAGCAGTTTAGAGGCAAATCTTTATATAAAAGGTTACTTTATATGTGTCCCTTTGACGACAAAAAAAGTTGAGGAAGAGCGCATGTTAAGTGAACTCCAATCACTACTTCGTCGGCATACTTTACTTAGGCTAAGCCTAACTAACAATATGTATTGCACTCTCTAACATCGTGTGCAATCCTGTCCGCTTACTCTATGCTATCTTTCTAACTCGACTACTTTTATCTATCACTCTATCATATCTTCGTTCTTCCCAAAATCACCTTACTCTCAGTCCGTAGAGCGGGCATGACGCTTCTTCGGGAGCTCAACTAGTCTTTGCGGACTTCTGGTAAAATGACCTCTATATGGCAATTAGCCGGAGGAGGTAAAACCACAATACCAGAGCTCATGTTAAGTGAACTCCAATCAACACTTTGTCGGTGTACATTATTTAGGTGACCTAACTAACAGTACAAATTGCACCCTCTAACATCGTGTGCAATCCTGTCTGCTTACTTTATGCCATCTTTCTAACTCGACTTCTTCTTATCTTTTACTCTAACATATCTTCGTTCTTCCTAAACTCACCTTACTCTCAGTCCGTCGAGCAGGTATGATGCTCCTTCGGGAGCTAAACCAGTCTTTGCCGACTTCTGGTAAAGTAACCTCTATACGGCAATTAGCCGGAGGAGGTTAAACTACAATACCAGAGCGCATGTTAAGTGAAAGAAAAGATTATAAAAATAAAATTTGTTTCCAACTTTTTTAAAGATATAATTCGTATAGTTTTTTAAGATATAACAAGGCTGCCAGCAACCACTATAAGAGTTTTGAAGTTACTGGAAGAGAAAAGATATAAATATAAGTATTATCTCATAAATATCTCATAGCTCTTTTTTTATTTAAATATTAACATAATGCCAGTATCTGGACCATCAAGATTGAATTTTTTCATCGGACCTCAAAAGGCTCAAAAGTTAGCTTTATTAAGCCATGTTAGTTTGATGTATGACCATTAAGGATAAAATAAATGTTTGTGAAGAAGTTATGCTTTAAAAGTGTTATTCTTTAAAAGCAATTTTCAAAGAACTCATAAAAACATAATATTAAATTTGTAAAAATTATTAAAAAAAATAGTTTACACTTTGAAATTCGAAATCAGGAGTAAACCTCGGAATTTGAAGTCTTGGAATTCCAAATAATTGAAAATAATTTTCAAGCGACATTTTTGAAAACAAAAAATTTACTAGATTTTTTATCTTTTTAGGTTGCTTGTCCTTTTAGATCGAAAGGCTGCGAATTTGTGAACAAATTGGAAACTTTATCTTCACATAAAAAGTCATGTGTTTTTAACCCAATCAATTTGCCTTCGTTTATGAAGGAAAGCCCTTTTTCTATCAATCCGAATTTAGGTAATTAATTTTTTTGTAATTCATAAATTTATAATTGTATTATTTGATATCATATTTTTAATAATTCTTACTTTATCTTAAGTGTGTATTTTCTTTTTATTATCATGATATATGTATTATATTTTTCAAGGAGTATTTCCGTTTTTTATAATTATCACTTACTGCTTATAACTATTTTATATTCAACATTATTTAGGTGAATCTCATGACGAAGAAACGCTGGCGACACCTGGAAAACCTTCGCTTAAAATGCGTCTTTTCTGCGACGAAAACAAACGAAATTTGCTATGCTCTGTTTTTGAAAATAAAGTTGAGCAAACTTTAGGCAAAAAAGAAACTTCAAACAAAGTATGGCTAAACAAAGAAAATGAAATAAAAAAACCAAAAAGACGTGCAATTGAGATTTACAGCCCATAATATTGTTTTATATTTTTTCAACTTTTATTTTTTTACGAGTATACACATTTTGAAATATTTGCAGCATACACCATAAATACATACATATTTCAGCATATATATTGGTTTTGTAAAGTGTTTATTATTATAAAGTTTATTATTATGAATTTGATTGTTGATAAATTTATTGTTTTATTAATTTAGTATTTAATTCATTATTCATGTTAAAATATTTTGTTAGTATATATATAGGTATTTAATTATTTGTTAGTATATACAGATATTTAATTATTTATAAATATAAATTTTTTTTTTTTTTTTGATAACTATAGTTTCCTGGTCAGCGTCAACCTTCAAAATATCAGGAAATATAACTCTTTTATAAATTATTAACTCTTAACTATTTAATTATCATTAAGGTGTGTGATGACACATCCTAATAATCATTAGGGTGTGTCATGCTCAGGTCAAAAATTAAAAAACAGATTTTTCATTTGCATTATTAAAAAAAGGGTGAGGTATAACATCAAATTCAGAGCAATCAAAAAATTTAAATGAGCTTAAGCTACCAGGGAACTGCTTTGAATATTGCAAAAAAAGGAAATTTTTTTCATATTTTCAATGTTTTTTTATGCATTTTTAGCAGAGGTGGAAAAAGTAAAAAAAAAAATTGTACTCAAGTAAAAGTACTGTTACTTGATTGACTACTGTTACTTCAAGTAAAAGTACTGTTACTTGATTGACTACTGTTACTTCAAGTAAAAGTACTGTTACTTGATTGACTACTGTTACTTCAAGTAAAAGTAAAAAGTATTAAAAATGTACTCAGAGTAAAAGTTACTGCGTTACTTTTTCAGTATCAAAGCAAAAAAATTCTGTGCAAAAAAAATTTTTTTTTTGCACAGAAAGTTTTTTTTATATTCGTAAAAAGTGAAAAAAAACCAAGCTAAAGCAGTTTAAACTCGTTACGAGCGCGCTAGTGTCATTTTGATTGAAGTGAGCCAAACTCAAAAAAATGAAATCATAGTATTTGTGAAATTAAGCAATACATAATAATTTTTTTTACTCAGTAACGCATATGATTTTAAATGTAGCGAAGTACAATACTTTAGAAAAAAAGTACTTAAGTAAAAGTAAGAGTACACATTTAAAAAAGTACTCAAAAAGTAGAAATTCTCAAAATAACTACTCAATTACAGTAACGCAAGTAAATGTAATTCGTTACTTTCCACCTCTCATTTTGAGAGCTTTACTGATTTTATAAGCTTTACAGCAAACTTATCTACCGAAATTAAAACTAGATAAGCATAATACATTTAGTAGTTAAAACTGTTTCTGTAATTTTGATTTACAAAAAATTTAAAAAAAAGGTGGGGGGGGGGTGTATTCGAGTTTAGTATGTAATAACTTTAAAACATATTTTATTAGGTCACTTTCCAAATAGCTAGGCGGAAATTTTATTTATAATAATAACTTTTTTAAACATTTAGTATACAAGATATTGGTTTTTATATATTTGCAGTGAATTTATCAAAAGGAACTACAGGGAAAGATGCTCTTTGTTTCTTTTTATTTAAGACTATGCTACTGTATTTTTTTAAATTCTATTTTATTTGTTTTGTTTTTTTATAAGAATAGCTTACTAGGATTATATTTTTTATCAATATTGATGTTATTATCTTTTTATTTAAGACAAAAATTGATATTTATTATATTTTTGATTAAATTTTTAAAATTACTAAATATAAAGTTTAATTAATTACAAAATGGCTGCTGTAACAAGGAGGAAAAATGGTTCTTGTCTACGTGAATATTTTAGAAAGAGTTACCAGTAGTTGAACTGCAAACTACAAAAACAAAGGTCTTAGAACTTCTTTTTAGTTGTTGGTAAAAAGTCTTCACTATTTCTTCAACGTTGCATCGCTGATCCGTTACAAGGTCTGTTCTAATAAATCCAAACATGGAAACAATTTACATAGGAATTTAGCTTTTATAATAAAAAACATCTTGTTTCTCTTGATAGTTTGACTAACATTTTAATACATTCAGTCAGAACTTTTTTTTTTTTTGCCCAGGTTATACGTTGTCTAGAATCGCTTGATTTCACTCATATTATTTCATAATAAAACAAAAAACCTTTTGAACTTTTCATTTTTTGTAAATTCTCTGTTAAATAAAGAGTAAAATTTTTAAAAACACATGGAGGACAAATAATGGTGCGAAATAATTGCAAGAAAAAGCGAAAGCTATTATGCAAATTTAATTTTTGTTACATAAATATCTTTTAATTAAGGCAAACTAGGAGTTACTAATGTCGAATGCTATTTTACGAGCAACATGGTCCTATAATAATAATAAAAACACACACGATCTATAATTAACATAATATTGGATACTAATTAAAGCTATAAATTTTTTGGAAAATGAATATAAATTTTATTTTCGAATAAAATAAAATGCATTATTGTCATTTTTTTAGTAAAAAGTTCTTTTTCTTTTTAAATTAATTCTCATTCAAAGTATATTTTTTTATGAAGAGATATTTTCTGAGGCACAAATGAGAAATTCAGATCGTTTTTCGCTCGGCAGCTTGATAAACTTCTGTTTTCCAAATTAAGCATTAAGCTTGCACGTGATGTTAATAATTAAAATAACTAAGAATAAAATATAATATGCTAACAGAATCATAGTTGTAATAATTTTCGAAATAAGCAAATAACTTGTTGGTGATTGAAAGCGAAAAAGAATCTCCGATATCACAATTATAAAAAAGTGGTGATTATAGAAAAGTGGGTCATTATAAAAATAATAGTGATTCATAAAACTATTTTTTTTTATCATCAAAATTTCTTAATTTTATTTTAACAATTCTTAAAAACTGCATAAATAGTGAAAATATTTTATTATTGGTAATGAGAAATAGGCTGCACAAGAAAAAACTTGTTTTTTAGTAAAATATTGAACAAAACAAAACTTTGTGTGAACGCTGCCGTTGCTTTTCCAAAAACTTTGTGGATTGCTCAAAAACTATAAAGTTATAAACAATATGTTTTATATTCAGTGATGCTGAGTTGAGGAAACACATGCTATCAACAATAAGATAGAGTTCGCAGCCATTTTTGTTCAGAAGATAAAAATTACTTTTCAACTAAATAAGTTGATTTATTCATTCTCTAACAATTTTTTTTTAAATACAAACTACGACATTAAATGGAAATTTTTATATTACAAGGTCAGGCATTACCAGATGATTAAAATCAAACAGATGGTAATGACGCTACAATTTTTCAAAACTTCTGAATTTTTAAAAACTGCATTTGCTATGCATAATCATCATTTGCCAATATCTATTAAATTGACCTACAAATTACTGAAAACTGTAAAATTATATATAAAAGAACTTAATTATTATTTGCAGCTTTTTACAATTTTTTTCTTGATTTAAAGACGTTATTAATTAACGAAAGGTGAAAAATAAAGTATTTTCTTTTGCTAAATTTGAATTATTTAAAAATAAAGTTAGCAATAAAAATAAAGAACTAATCATTTTGAGGTCATAAGTCCATCGCTTTGTTTAAAGTTTATAAGTGCGTAAGTAAATCATTAGTTTTTATAAAAGAAATGAAAAACCGTAAAAAGAGGTTTTATTCCTATTATTGCATCCAGCCAAACAATTTTGAAACACAAAATAGTTGCAAGAAATCAACAACTGTTGCGAATAGATTACGAAGATGGCTCAAATCTTACAGAGAGTGACGTAACTCTATTATTAGAGCAAATAAAAAAGCTGAACACTATTTAGAGTACAAAAGGTTTATGAACAGCCTGAATGTTGTTGTTTATAATCGAAATCAAGATATTAAAGCAAACAGAGATATATTTTTGAAGCTTTTCTAATAACAAGAAGTGAGACTGGAATAAGTTATGTTTCTAACGTATAAATTATGTTTCTAACGAAATAATAGAAAATTTACCAGCATTTATAAAACCAGTGTTAGATGTAACAGATGCAGCTGACATTGCGACATCTTACTTTGTTTTCCAATATTTAAAAACAAAATGTATTAAACTTTCTCTAATGTTTTCTATGCTTTGTGCTAAAATTGTCGTTTTCACCGTGTGGATTATGTATTTCTGTTTCACAAAAATAAAAATTTCACAAAAGACTTTTATGTTAAAGGAGGCAATTATGAACACAAAGAAAACTTACCTGAAACAGAAACAGTTAACAAATGTAGAGGAAAGGTTATACTTATAACATTAAAAAATAACAATAACAATTTATCTAATACAGAAATAATAAAGAAAGTAATCCAAACTTATGAGAATGCTAAATCATAAAGAAATTTGTTGTTCTTTTATTGTTTATACCGCGTTTAATTATCAGCAAACATAAATACAAATAGCCATTTCGACATTATTTTTAGACCATTTTTGCAGGTTAGAAAACGCCTGAGTTTTTTCTAATCTGTAAAATTTAGCTTTTGCAAATATATACCCATTTATCACAAAGTTAATGTTTTAGTAAAACAGGCATGTAGAACTTAACATTAAAATCCGTTAAATATTTCTTGTCTTGCAGTCAAAACAATTAAGTATTTTGCTTTAAAACATTAAAAGAAATTTTACTGGAAGCTGGAAATGAGGTTACATTAATGGAAATACTTAGTGTAATTGTAAAATTTTGAGACTTTTTACCAGATATTTGGATGCATAATTAAGTTTAAAATTTGCATCATAAATTTTCAGAATATTGTTGCCAAAATCTTCTGCAACTTACTTTTAATATTTTTGCCTTGGAAATTTGTTAGCAGCCGAAATAGGTCTTTGTCAATTTTTAAACTCTAAAAAAAAAAATGATCCAACAAATTATTACAACCATTGAAATCTCCGTGCGAGCCTTAAATAAACCTAGTATATGTCGATGTAAATGTTTAAATGTAAATGTTTTAATTTTGATGTAAATGTTTAAATGTAAATTTCTAAATGTTTTGAGTGATATTGAAAAAATTTACTGCGTACTTTGATGAATTATTTGTTTCATGAATCAGTTTGCAGGTAAATATTTTACAATTAAATGTATTGAAATAAATATGTTACAACAACTATATTATAATAAATATATTACAATTATTACATTACAATAATTATATTACAGTAAACTTAGTACAATAAATATATTACAATGAATTCAA